TTGGGGTGTTCGGGCTTCCTGAAGGTAATACCCGGGTATTAGGTTTTGGGGCTAGGGTTAGGTTTAAGGTTTTTGGCGTTAGGGTTAAAATAACTGTCCAATATTTTTTAAGGAACATGTTTCAGACCTTTTGGGAGTTAGTTAGACAAAAAAAAAAGAAAAAGAAAAAAAAATATTTGGGGTGTTCGGGTTTCCTGAAGGTAATACCCTGGTATTAGGTTATGGGGCTAGGTTAAGGTTTAAGGTTTTTGGCGTTAGGGTTAAAATCACTGTCCAAAACCTTTTAAGGAACATGTTTAAGACCTTTTGGAGTTGGTTACACCAAAAAAAAATGTAAAATGAAAAAAAATATATTTGGGGTGTTCGGACTTCCTGAAGGTAATACCCGGGTATTAGGTTATGGTGCTAGGGTAAAGTTTAAGGTTTTTGGCGTGAGGGTTAAAATCACTGTCCAAAACCTTTGTAGGACCTCTTCTCCAACCTTTTGGTGTAAGTTAGACAAAAAAAAAACGAAAATTGAAAAACAAATATTTGGGATTTTTGGGCTTCCTGAAGGTAATACCCGGGTATTAGGTTATGGGGCTTTGGAAAGGTTTAAGGTTTTTGGCGTGAGGGTTAAAATCACTGTCCAAAACCGTTGTAGGAAGTCTTTTCCAACCTTTTGGAGTTAGTAAGACCAATAAAAAAATGAAAAATGAAAAAAAAAAATTGGGGGTGTTCGGGCTTCCTGAAGGTAATACTTAGGTTTTGGGGCTAGGATTAGGTTTAAGGTTTTTGGCGTTAGGGTTAAAATCACTGTCCAATATTTTTTAAGGAACATGTTTCAGACCTTTTGGAGTTGGTTACACCAAAAAAATGTAAAATGAAAAAAAATATATTTGGGGTGTTCGGGCTTCCTGAAGGTAATACCCGGGTATGAGGTTATGGGGCTAGGGTAAGGTTTAAGGTTTTTGGCGTAAGGGTTAAAATCACTGTCCAAAACCTTTTTAGGAACATGTTTCAGACCTTTTGGAGTTGGTTACACCAAAAAAATGTAAAATGAAAAAAAATATATTTGGGGTGTTCGGGCTTCCTGAAGGTAATACCCGGTATTAGGTTATGGGGTTGGATTAGGTTTAAGGTTTTTGGCGTAAGGGTTAAAATCACTGTCCAAAACCTTTTAAGGAACAAGATTCAGACCTTTTGGAGTTGGTTACACCAAAAAAAATGTAAAATGAAAAAAAAAAATATTTGGGGTGTTCGGGCTTCCTGAAGGTAATACCCGGGTATTAGGTTTTGGGGCGAGGGTAAGGTTTAAGGTTTTTGGTGGTAGGGTTAAAATCACTGTCAAAAACCTTTGTAGGAACTCTTCCAACCTTTTGGAGTTATTTAGACCAAAAAAAAAAGAAAAAAGAAAAAAATATATTTGGGGTCTTCGGGCTTCCTGAAGGAAATACCCGGGTATGAGGTTATGGGGCTCAGGTAAGGTTTAAGGTTTTTGGCGTTAGGGTTAAAACCACTGTCCAAAACCTTTGTAGGAACTCTTTTCCAACCTTTTGGAGTTAGTTAGACCAAAAAAAAACGAAAAATGAAAAAAAAATATTTGGGGTTTTTGGGCTTCCTGAAGGTAATACCCGGGTATTAGGTTATGGGGCTAGGGTAAGGTTTAAGGTTTTTGGCGTTAGGTTTAAAATCACTGTCCAAAACCTTTTTAGGAACATGTTTAAGACCTTTTGGAGTTGGTTACACCAAAAAAAATGTAAAAAGAAAAAATATATATTTGGGTTCATATTTGGGTTTTTATTTCAAGTTCAACAATTGCAACAACCTCAAGTTCAAAAACCGCCACAAACTCAAGTTCAAAAACACCACAACCTTGAGTTCAAAAAACACCACAAACTCAAGTTCAAACACGACACAAACTGAAGTTCAACAAACACAAAAACTCGAGTTCAAAAACACCACAACCTCAAGTTCAAACACGACACAAACTCAAGTTCAACAAACACCACAAACTCAAGTTCAAAAACAACACAAACTCGAGTTCAAAAACACCACAAAATCAAGTTCAAACACGTCACACACTCAAGTTCAACAATTGCCACAACCTCAAGTTCAAAAACACCAAAAACTCAAGTTCAAAAACACCACAACCTCAAGTTCAAAAAACACCACAAACTGAAGTTCAAACACGACACAAACTCAAGTTCAACAAACACACAAACTCAAGTTCAACCAATACCCAATTATCAAGTTCAACAATTGCCAAAACCTCAAGTTCAGAAACAACAAACTCAAGTTAAAAAAACACACAAACTCAAGTTCAACAAAAACCACAAACTCAAGTTCAACCAACACCTGATTCTCAAGTTTTTACAATTTCCACAACCTCAAGTTCAAAAACAACACAAACTCAAGTACAAAAAAAACCATAAACTAAAGTTCAATCAAAGCACAAAATCAAGTTCAACAAAAACCACAAACTCAAGTTCAACCAACACCTGATTCTCAAGTTTTAACAATTTTCACAACCTCAAGTTCAAAAACCACCACAAACTCAAGTTCAAACACGCCACAATCTCAAGTTCAAACACGCCACAAACTCAAGTTCAAAAACCGCCACAAACTCAATTCAAAAATACCACAACCTCAAGTTCAAACACAACACAAGCTGGAGTTCAACATACACCACAAACTCAAGTTCAACAAATGGCAAAGTTTTAAGTTCAACCAACACCCAAATCTCAAGTTTAACAATTGCAACAACCTCAAGTTCAAACACGCCACGAACTCAAGTCAAAAACACCACAACCTCAAGTTCAAAAAACACCACAAACTCAAGTTCAACCACCACCCAATCCTCAAGTTTAAAAATTTCCACAAACTGAAGTTCAAAAAACCACAACCTCAAGTTAAAAAAACCACAAACTCAAGTTCAAACATGCCAAAAACTGAAGTTCAACAAACACAAAAACTCGAGTTCAAAAACACCACAACCTCAAGTTCAAAAACACCACAACCTCAAGTTCAAACACGACACAAACTCAAGTTCAACAAAAACCACACTCAAGTTCAACAAATGTCAAACTTTTAAGTTCAACCAACACCCAATTCTCAATTTTAGAATTTGCCACAACCTCAAGTTCAAAAATAACACAAACTCAAGTTCATCCACGTCACAAACTCAAGTTCAACAAACGCCATAAACTCATGTTCAACAATTGCAACCAACTAAAGTTCACTAAAAACCACAGACTCAAGTTCAACAATTGCCAAAACCTCAAGTTCAAAAACAACAAACTCAAGTTCAAAAAACACTCAAACTCAAGTTAAACAAACAAGAAAAATCAAGTTCAAAAACACCACAACCTCAAGTTCAAACACGACACAAACGCAAGTTCAACAAAAACCACAAACTCAAGTTCAACAAATGTCAAACTTTTAAGTTCAACCAACACCCAATTCTCAAGTTTTAACAATTTTCACAACCTAAAGTTCAAAAACCACCACAAACTCAAGTTCAAACACGCAACAATCTCAAGTTCAAACACGCCACAAAATCAATTCAAAAATACCACAACCTCAAGTTCAAACACAACACAAGCTGGAGTTCAACATACACCACAAACTCAAGTTCAACAAATGGCAAAGTTTTAAGTTCAACCAACACCCAAATCTCAAGTTTAACAATTGCAACAACCTCAAGTTCAAACACGCCACGAACTCAAGTCAAAAACACCACAACCTCAAGTTCAAAAAACACCACAAAATCAAGTTCAAACACGTCACAAACACAAGTTCAACAATTGCCACAACCTCAAGTTCAAAAACCGCCACAAACTCAAGTTCAAAAAAACACACAACCTCAAGTTCAAAAAACACCACAAACTCAAGTTCAAACACGACACAAACTGAAGTTCAAACACAAAAACCCGAGTTCAAAAACACCACAACCTCAAGTTCAAACACGACACAAACTCAAATTCCACAAACACCACGAACTCAAGTTCAAAAACACCACAAACTCAAGTTCAAAAACACCACAAAATCAAGTTCAAACACGTCAAACTCAAGTTCAACAATTGCCACAACCTCAAGTTCAAAAACCCCCACAAACTCAAGTTCAAAAAAACACACAACCTCAAGTTCAAAAAACACCACAAACTCAAGTTCAAACACGACACAAACTCAAGTTCAACAAACACACAAACTCAAGTTCAACCAATACCCAATTCTCAAGTTTAACAATTTCCACAACCTCAAGTTCAAAAACACCAAAAATTCGAGTTCAAAAACACAGCAAAATCATGTTAAACATGTCACAAACTCAAGTTTAACAAATGCCACAAACTCAAGTTCAACAATTGCCACCAACTAAAGTTCACTAAAAACAACAGACTCAAGTTCAACAATTGCCAAAACCTCAAGTTCAGAAACAACAAACTCAAGTTAAAAACAAAAAAAACAAACTCAAGTTAAACAAACACACAAACTCAAGTTTAAAAACACCACAACCTCAAGCTCAAAAACGACACAAACTCAAGTTCAACAAAAACCACAAACTCAAGTTCGAAAAAAACCACAAACTCAAGTTAAACCAACACCTGATTCTCAAGTTTTAACAATTTTCACAACCTCAAGTTCAAAAACCACCACAAACTCAAGTTCAAACACGCCACAAACTCAAGTTCAAAAACCGCCACAAACTCAATTCAAAAATACCACAACCTCAAGTTCTAACACAACACAAGCTGGAGTTCAACATACACCACAAACTCAAGTTCAACAAATGGCAAAGTTTTAAGTTCAACCAACACCCAAATCTCAAGTTTAACAATTGCAACAACCTCAAGTTCAAACACGCCACGAACTCAAGTCAAAAACATCACAACCTCAAGTTCAAAAAACACCACAAACTCAAGTTCAACCACCACCCACTCCTCAAGTTTAAAAATTTCCACAAACTGAAGTTCAAAAAACCACAACCTCAAGTTAAAAAAACCACAAACTCAAGTTCAAACATGCCAAAAACTGAAGTTCAACAAACACAAAAACTCGAGTTCAAAAACACCACAACCTCAAGTTCAAACATGACACAAACTCAGGTTCAACAAAAACCACACTCAAGTTCAACAAATGTCATACTTTTAAGTTCAACCAACACCCAATTCTCAATTTTAGAAATTGCCACAACCTCAAGTTCAAAAATAACACAAACTCAAGTTCATCCACGTCACAAACTCAAGTTCAACAGACGCCATAAACTCATGTTCAACAATTGCAACCAACTAAAGTTCACTGAAAACCACAGACTCAAGTTCAACAATTGCCAAAACCTCAAGTTCAGAAACAACAAACTCAAGTTCAAAAAACACACAAACTCAAGTTAAACAAACAAGAAACCTCAAGTTCAAAAACACCACAACCTCAAGTTCAAACACGAAACAAACTCAAGTTCAACAAAAACCACACTCAAGTTCAACAAATGTCAAACTTTTAAGTTCAACCAACACCCAATTCTCAATTTTAGAAATTGCCACAACCTCAAGTTCAAAAATAACACAAACTCAAGTTCATCCACGTCACAAACTCAAGTTCAACAAACGCCATAAACTCATGTTCAACAATTGCAACCAACTAAAGTTCACTAAAAACCACAGACTCAAGTTCAACAATTGCCAAAACCTCAAGTTCAGAAACAACAAACTCAAGTTCAAAAAACACACAAACTCAAGTTAAACAAACAAGAAACCTCAAGTTCAAAAACACCACAACCTCAAGATCAAAACACGAAACAAACTCAAGTTCAATCAACACCCAAATCTCAAGTTTAAGTTTTTCCACAACCTCAAGTTCAAACACGCCACAAACTCAAGCTCAAAAACACCACAACCTCAAGCTCAAAAAACACCACAAACTCAAGTTCAAACACTACACAAACTCAAGTTCAAAAATAACACAAACTCAAGTTCAACCAATACCCAATTTTTGGGTTTAACAATTTCCATAACCTCAAGATCAACAAACACACAAACTCAAGTTCAAAAATACCACAAACTCAAGTTCAAACACGACACAAACTCAAGTTCAAAAAACACACAAACTCAAGTTCAACCAACACCTGATTCTCAAGTTTAACAATTTCCACAACCTCAAGTTCAAAAACAACAGAAACCCAAGTTGAACCAACACCCGATTCTCAAGTTTAACAATTTCCACAAACTCAAGTTCAAAAACACCACAAACTCAAGTTCAAAAACGACACAAACTAAAGTTAAACAAACAGCTCAAACTCAAGTTCAACAAATGTCAAAGTTTTTAAGTTCAACCAACACCAAAATCTCAATTTAACAATTGCAACAACCTCAAGTTCAAACACGCCACAAACTCAAGTTCAAAAACACCACAACCTCAAGTTCAAAAACACCATAAACTCAAGTTCAAACACGACACAAACAAAAGTTCAACAAACACCACAAACTCAAGTTCAACAAATGTCAAAATTTTAAGTTCAACCAACACCCAAATCTCAAGTTTCACAATTGCAACAACCTAAAGTTCAAAAAAGCCACAAACTCAAGTTCAAACACGACACAAACTCAAGTTCAACGAACACCAAAAACTCAAGTTCACAATACACCACAAACTCAAGTTCAAACACGACACAAACTCAAGTTCAACAAACACCACAAACTCAAGTTCAACCAACACCCAATCCTCAAGTTTAACAATTTCCACAAACTGAAGTTCAAAAAACCACAACCTCAAGTTAAAAAAAACACAAACTCAAGTTCAAACACACCAAAAACTTAAGTTCAACAATCACAAATACTCGAGCTCAAAAACACCACAGCCTCAAGTTCAAACACGACACAAACTCAAGTTCAACAAATGACAAACTTTTAAGTTCAACCAACACCCAAATCTCAATTTTAGAAATTGCCAAAACCTAAAGTTCAAAAAAACCACAACCTCAGGCTCAAAAAACACCACAAACCGAAGTTCAAACACGACACAAACTCAAGTTCAACAAACACACAAACTCAAGTTCAACCAATACCAAATTTTCAAGTTTAACAATTTCTCACAACCTCAAGTTTAAAAACACCACAAACTCAAGTTCAAAAAAACCATAAACTCAAGTTCAAACACGACACAAACTCAAGTTCAACCAACACACAAACTCAATTTCAACCAATACCCAATTCTCAAGTTTAACAAATTCCACAACCTCAAGTTCAAAAACACCACAAACTCAAGTTCAACAAAAACCACAAACCCAAGTTCAACAAATGTCAAACTCAAGTTAAACAATTGCCACAAACTCAAGTTCAGAAACAACAAACTCAAGTTAAAAAAAAAACACAAACTCAAGTTTAACAAACACACAAACTCAAAGTCAAAAACACCACAAACTCGAGCTCAAACACGACACAAACTCAAGTTAAAAAAAACAAATACTCAAGTTCAATCAACACCTGATTCTCAAGTTTAACAAGTTCCACAACCTCAAGTTGAAAAATAACACAAACTCAAGTACAAAACACCACAAACTCAAGTTCAAAAACACCACAACCTCAAGTTCAAAAAACACCACAAACTGAAGTTAAAACACAACACAATCTCTTGTTCAACAAACACACCACAACCTCAAGTTCAACCAATACCTAATTCTCAAGTCACAATTTCCAACACCTCAAGTTCAAAAACACCACAAACTCAAGTTCAAAAACACCACAAAGTCAAGTTCAACCACGATTCAAACTCAAGTTCAAAAACACCACAAACTCAAGTTCAAAGACACCAAAAACTAAAGTTCAAAAAACACACAAACTCAAGTTTGAAAACACCACAAACTCAAGTTCAAACAAGACACAAACTTAAGTTCAACAAACACACAAACTCAAGTTCAACAAATGCCAAACTTTTAAGTTGAACCAACACCCAAATCTCAAGTTCAACAATTGCCACAACCTAGAGTTCAACAAACGCCACAAACTCAAGTTCAAACACGAAACAAACTCAAGTTCAAAAACACCACAAACTCAAGTTCAAAAACACAACACACCCTCAAGTTCAAAAACACCAAAAACTCAAGTTCAAAAACACCACAAAGTTCAAACCCGAAACAAACTCAAGTTCAAAAACACCACAAACTCAAGTTCAACAATTACCACCAATTAAAGTTCACCAAAAACCACAGACTCAAGTTCAACAATTGCCACAAATTAAGTTCATAAAAATTAAGTTAAAAAAACAAACAAATTCAAGTTCAAAAAACAACACGAACTCAAGTTCAAACACGACACAAACTCAAGTTCAACCAACAACCAAATCTCAAGTTTAACAATTGCCACAACCTAGATTTCAACAAACGCCACAACTCAAGTTCAAAAAACACACAAACTCAAGTTCAAACATGACACAAACTCAAATTCAACAAACACACAAACTCAAATTCAACCAATACCCAATTCTCAAGTTTAACAAATTCCACACCCTCAAGTTCAAAAACACCAAAAACTCCAGTTCAAAAACACGACACAAACTCAAGTTCATACACGACACAAACTCAAGTTCAAACATAACACAAACTCAAGTTCAACAAACACACAAACTCAAGTTAAACAAACAAGAAATCTCAAGTTCAAAAACACCACAACCTCAAGTTCAAAAACACCACAAACTCAAGTTCAGACACGACACAAACTCAAGTTCAACAAACGCCACAAACTCAAGTTCAAACAAGACACAAATTCAAGTTCAAAAACAACAGAAACTCAAGTTCAACAAACGCCACAAACTCAAGTTCAAACATGAAACAAACTCAAGTTCAAAAACACCACAAACTCAAGTTCAACCAAAACCCAATTCTCAAGTTTAACAAATTCCACACCCTCAAGTTCAAAAACAACACAAACTCAAGTTCAAAAAACACACAAACTCAATTTTAAAAAACGCCACAAACTCAAGTTCAAACAAGAAACAAACTCAAGTTCAAAAAAACCACAAACTCAAGTTCAAACACAACACAAACTCAAGTTCAACAAACACCACAAACTAAATTTCCAACGTGATACAAACTCAAGTTCAACAAACACACTAACTGAAGTTCATCCAACACCTGATTCTCAAGTTTCAAAATTTCAAACAATGTTCATAACAACAAGCCAAACTCATCAAAAGAACACTAAAACAACAGCTTAACGCATTCATGCCATTACACATGCTCAAAAACGTTCAAACTCGCCAAAACAAACACTTTTCATAACAACAAGCCAAACTCATCAAAAGAACACTAAAACAACAGCTTAACGCATTCATGCCATTACACATGCTCAAAAACGTTCAAACTCGCCAAAACAAACACTTTTCATAACAACAAGCCAAACTCATCAAAAGAACACTAAAACAACAGCTTAACTTATTCATGCCATTACACATGCTCAAAAACGTTCAAACTCGCCAAAACAAACACTTTTCATAACAACAAGCCAAACTCATCAAAAGAACACTAAAACAACAGCTTAACGCATTCATGCCATTACACATGCTCAAAAATGTTCAAACTCGCCAAAATAAACACTTTTCATAACAACAAGCCAAACTCATCAAAAGAACACTAAAACAACAGCTTAATGCATTCATGCCATTACACATGCTCAAAAACGTTCAAACTCGCCAAAACAAAACTTTTCATAACAACAAGCCAAACTCATCAAAAGAACACTAAAACAACAGCTTAACGCATTCATGCCATTACACATGCTCAAAAACGTTCAAACTCGCCAAAATAAACACTTTTCATAACAACAAGCCAAACTCATCAAAAGAACACTAAAACAACAGCTTAACGCATTCATGCCATTACACATGCTCAAAAACGTTCAAACTCGCCAAAATAAACAATTTTCATAACAACAAGCCAAACTCATCAAAAGAACACTAAAACAACGGCTTAACACAAGGGATTGCTAATTCAACACATTCATGCCATTACACATGCTAAAAAACCTTCAAACTGGCCAAAACGAACAATGTTCATAACAACAAGCCAAACTCATCAAAAGAACACTAAAACAACAGCTTAACGCATTCAGGCCATTACACATGCTCAAAAACCTTCAAACTCGCCAAAACAAACACTTTTCATAACAGCAAGCCAAACTCATCAAAAGAACACTAAAACAACAGCTTGACGCATTCATGCCATTACACATGCTCAAAAACGTTCAAACTCGCCAAAACAAACACTTTTCATAACAACAAGCCAAACTCATCAAAAGAACACTAAAACAACAGCTTAACGCATTCATGCCATTACACATGCTCAAAAACGTTCAAACTCGCCAAAACAAACACTTTTCATAACAACAAGCCAAACTCATCAAAAGAACACTAAAACAACAGCTTTACGCATTCATGCCATTACACATGCTCAAAAACGTTCAAACTCGCCAAAACAAACACTTTTCATAACAACAAGCCAAACTCATCAAAAGAACACTAAAACAACAGCTTAACGCATTCATGCCATTACACATGCTCAAAAACGTTCAAACTCGCCAAAATAAACACTTTTCATAACAACAAGCCAAACTCATCAAAAGAACACTAAAACATCGGCTTAACACAAGGGATTACTAATTTAAAACATTAATGCCATTACACATGCTAAAAAACCTTCAAACTGTCTAAAACTAACAATGTTCATAACAACAAGCCAAACTCATCATAAGAACACTTAACGCATTCATGCCATTACACATGCTCAAAAACGTTCAAACTCGCCAAAATAAACACTTTTCATAACAACAAGCCAAACTCATCAAAAGAACACTAAAACAACAGCTTAACGCATTCATGCCATTACACATGCTCAAAAACGTTCAAACTCGCCAAAATAAACACTTCATAGCAACAAGCCAAACTCATCAAAAGAACACTAAAACAACGGCTTAACACAAGGGATTGCTAATTCAACACATTCATGCCATTACACATGCTAAAAAACCTTCAAACTGGCCAAAACGAACAATGTTCATAACAACAAGCCAAACTCATCAAAAGAACACTAAAACAACAGCTTAACGCATTCAGGCCATTACACATGCTCAAAAACATTCAAACTCGCCAAGACAAACACTTTTCATAACAACAAGCCAAACTCATCAAAAGAACACTAAAACAACAGCTTGACGCATTCATGCCATTACACATGCTCAAAAACGTTCAAACTCGCCAAAACAAACACTTTTCATAACAACAAGCCAAACTCATCAAAAGAACACTAAAACAACAGCTTTACGCATTCATGCCATTACACATGCTCAAAAACGTTCAAACTCGCCAAAACAAACACTTTTCATAACAACAAGCCAAACTCATCAAAAGAACACTTAACGCATTCATGCCATTACACATGCTCAAAAACGTTCAAACTCGCCAAAATAAACACTTTTCATAACAACAAGCCAAACTCATCAAAAGAACACTAAAACATCGGCTTAACACAAGGGATTACTAATTTAAAACATTAATGCCATTACACATGCTAAAAAACCTTCAAACTGTCTAAAACTAACAATGTTCATAACAACAAGCCAAACTCATCAAAAGAACACTAAAACAACAGCTTAACGCATTCATGCCATTACACATGCTCAAAAACCTTCAAACTCGCCAAAACAAACACTTTTCATAACAACAAGCCAAACTCATCAAAAGAACACTAAAACAACAGCTTAACGCATTCATGCCATTACACATGCTCAAAAACGTTCAAACTCGCCAAAACAAACACTTTTCATAACAACAAGCCAAACTCATCAAAAGAACACTAAAACAACGGCTTAACACAAGGGATTGCTAATTCAACACATTCATGCCATTACACATGCTCAAAAACGTTCAAACTCGCCAAAACAAACACTTTTCATAACAACAAGCCAAACTCATCAAAAGAACACTAAAACAACAGCTTAACGCATTCATGCCATTACACATGCTCAAAAACGTTCAAACTCGCCAAAACAAACACTTTTCATAACAACAAGCCAAACTCATCAAAAGAACACTAAAACAACAGCTTGACGCATTCATGCCATTACACATGCTCAAAAACGTTCAAACTCGCCAAAACAAACACTTTTCATAACAACAAGCCAAACTCATCAAAAGAACACTAAAACAACAGCTTAACGCATTCATGCCATTACACATGCTCAAAAACGTTCAAACTCGCCAAAACAAACACTTTTCATAACAACAAGCCAAACTCATCAAAAGAACACTAAAACATCGGCTTAACACAAGGGATTACTAATTTAAAACATTAATGCCATTACACATGCTAAAAAAACCTTCAAACTCGCCAAAACAAACAATGTTCATAACAACAAGCCAAACTCATCAAAAGAACACTAAAACAACAGCTTAACGCATTCATGCCATTACACATGCTCAAAAACCTTCAAACTCGCCAAAACAAACACTTTTCATAACAACAAGCCAAACTCATCAAAAGAACACTAAAACAACAGCTTAACGCATTCATGCCATTACACATGCTCAAAAACGTTCAAACTCGCCAAAACAAACACTTTTCATAACAACAAGCCAAACTCATCAAAAGAACACTAAAACAACGGCTTAACACAAGGGATTGCTAATTCAACACATTCATGCCATTACACATGCTAAAAAACCTTCAAACTGGCCAAAACGAACAATGTTCATAACAACAAGCCAAACTCATCAAAAGAACACTAAAACAACAGCTTAACGCATTCATGCCATTACACATGCTCAAAAACATTCAAACTCGCCAAAACAAACACTTTTCATAACAACAAGCCAAACTCATCAAAAGAACACTAAAACAACAGCTTAACGCATTCAGGCCATTATACATGCTCAAAAACATTCAAACTCGCCAAAACAAACACTTTTCATAACAACAAGCCAAACTCATCAAAAGAACACTAAAACAACAGCTTGACGCATTCATGCCATTACACATGCTCAAAAACGTTCAAACTCGCCAAAACAAACACTTTTCATAACAACAAGCCAAACTCATCAAAAGAACACTAAAACAACAGCTTAACACATTCATGCCATTACACATGCTCAAAAACCTTCAAACTCGCCAAAACAAACACTTTTCATAACAACAAGCCAAACTCATCAAAAGAACACTAAAACAACAGCTTACGCATTCATGCCATTACACATGCTCAAAAACGTTCAAACTCGCCAAAACAAACACTTTTCATAACAACAAGCCAAACTCATCAAAAGAACACTAAAACAACAGCTTAACGCATTCATGCCATTACACATGCTCAAAAACGTTCAAACTCGCCAAAACAAACACTTTTCATAACAACAAGCCAAACTCATCAAAAGAACACTAAAACGCTTAACACAAGGATTACTAATTAACACATTCATGCCATTACACATGCTAAAAAACCTTCAAACTGTCTAAAACGAACAATGTTCATAACAACAAGCCAAACTCATCAAAAGAACACTAAAACAACAGCTTAACGCATTCATGCCATTACACATGCTCAAAAACCTTCAAACTCGCCAAAAAAAACACTTTTCATAACTACAAGCCAAACTCATCAAAAGAACACTAAAACAACAGCTTAACGCATTCATGCCATTACACATGCTCAAAAACGTTCAAACTCGCCAAAATAAACACTTCATAGCAACAAGCCAAACTCATCAAAAGAACACTAAAACAACGGCTTAACACAAGGGATTGCTAATTCAACACATTCATGCCATTACACATTCTAAAAATCTTCAAACTGGCCAAAACGAACAATGTTCATAACAACAAGCCAAACTCATCAAAAGAACACTAAA